ACCCTGAGCCGGTGAGATTTGAACCGCTGAACTGCTGATCTAGCAGTAGCCTGCAGTGCTGCATTTAACCACTGCGCCACCTTGGCTCTTTCAAGAAGTCAAGGTCAAGAAGTAGGTTGCAGTAGTGCACTCTTAACCACTGTGCCACCCTGGTTTGAGTTTCCTCCTTGAGCAGGGGGTTGGACTAGAAGACCTCCAAGGTCCCATCCTGCCTTAGGAGTCTACGAACCCCTTTGGAAAGATGTTCAAACTTTCACAAGTATTCAGAAAGGGAGCTCAGGGTGAACTCTCTGCACCGTCAAACATAGAGGAGCTGATCACACAGAACATTTCTGTATATATATAATGTCATAAAATGCTTTATGATAATGTTGGGGGTCTTAAAATGTTTTATGAAATTTGCCGAATTTGAATTCCCCAGGAGATTTGGAATTTGGGTGGATTGGATAGCCATCTGTCTGGAATGATATTGAGTCTCCTGCTTGAGCAGGGAGGGGGTTGGACTAGAAGACCTCTGAGGTCCCTTCCAACTCTGATATTCTGCATTCTACTTCCTGTATTCTGCATGAGTTAAAACAAGCCAAATTTTGGAACGGTTCAAACCCAGAATTGGCACCTAAGCTCCATATGCAAAACAGCAAAACTAAATTGCGTTTTATCTCAGTGCCGTGTGTGTGTGTGTGTGAACTCCCTGATAAAATGCACCAGGGCGTGTGGTGTTATTTTTTTCAAATATCAGCCCTTCCCAGCCCTTCGATTGTATGATAATTTTGGGTGTCCACGATGCTAGCAGAATTGAGACGTGACTCTATCTTGGTGGGTGCGTGAAGCCAAAGTCCAAAAGTTGCTTTAAAAAAAAAAAAGTCCTCTAATTCAGTTTATTTTTGAAACAGAACTTGGCATGTTTTGTTTTCCGTTCTTGCCTTGTTTATCTTCTCGGATGAGCAGCTGGTTTGGCAACAGGACAATGCAGGATTTGGCCTGGAAGAGGGTGTCATCCCAAAAAGAAAGAGAGAAAGAGAGAGGGGGAGAGGGAGAGGGAGGGAGAGATTGATTGATTTTGGATTGTTCTTCTTTGGAGATCAACTGTGCTCCTCCCGAATTAGTCTCTTAGAAGCGGCTATCCGCCCTTAGCTTCCCTTTGTAGGGAACAAAAAAAACACCCTATTTATTGACACTTTTGCCGTTTCTGGAACCTGGGAAGAGTTAGGGAACGTTTTTTTCCAAATCCAGGCTTGATGCTTCTTGGGCTAAGACAGAAAGGAGAGATAAATTAGAAGGGAGGCTAAGAGCCAATTTTGTCCAGGGATTCTCAAGAGGGATGGAATGGCAACAGTTTTATGCTTCTGCCCGTCGTGGCTCTGTGTGAGTTACGGTTTTGAATTTAGGGATGTAGGAAAAGCCACCTCGAGGGAGGAACCTCTGTATTGTGTCTCTGAATGAGTTGTAGCCCTCAGCGTAGAGATGTAGAGAAGGGATTCCTCCTATGAGGAAGCTGCCTATTGTGTCTCCGTATGAGCTGTTCACCTGAACATAAGGATGTAGAGAAGGGGTTCCGTCCATGAGGAAATGGCTCGTTGTGTCTCTGTATAAGTTGCTGAGTGTAGGGATTTACAGTCACAGACTTTATCTGGCTTGGAGAGCTTGGCAAGGAGTCTCAGAGAGTCAGGAACCAATGAAGTGAACTAATTGTCTCCTGCAAACTCCACTCCCCNCATCTTCAAGTTGCCAAGGTTGAGAAACACTGTCCTAGAAGGTGTGAGAATGTAAAGGCTCCCCTTGCACATGCATGCTAGTCGTTCCCGACTCTAGGGGGCAGTGCTCACCTCCGTTTCAGAGCCTCTTCAGGTTGCTGCATGGACGGGGTCTCCCTGGGAGACGTTTAACGTGTGATTCTTCCTCTCTCCAGAAAATCCAAGACATGGAAGAGAGGCGGATCATCAGAATAGGGGAATCCATGAAGACGTTTGCCGAGGTGGATCGCCAGGTGACGCCCATCATCGGAAAGTGCCTGGACGAGATCACCAAGGCCGTGGACTCCATTGACCCGAAGCACGTAAGTGGGAAGCTTCCTTCAGAACTAGGATCACACCTGGGTTGTGGAGGTGGTGATATTTAACCCTGTTCTTCAGGTGTAAGCCGTAGAGTTGGTGCGGTGGCCTAGAGGTGGCGCTCTCGCCTCACCATCAGGAGTTCGATACCAGGTAGAGGCAGATATTCCTCTCTCTGGGCACAAGGAGAATGTATCTGCTGAACAAAACTCCGCATTGGCAACAGGAAGGGCATCCGGCCAGTAAAACACTCTGCTGGCTCCATTCCGTTGCCCAGACTCCACCCCGCGAGGGATGATGGGGTCGTTAAGTGAAGATGATCAGGCGTAAACCATGTTTGCTTTGAAAAAGAGTCGGATGTGGTTCCTTCACTGCAGCCTTTTATGCTTAAGGCAGTGCATCCGTTGTCCCCTTTCATGTATAGGATGTCCTCTACTTACAACCGGTCCTCACACTTGTGACGGTGGCTGCATCCGTTAGAAGCGGTTAACTTAAAACACTAGCGATTCCCTTAGCAATGAATGCCGTGCTTTCCTTAACAGCTGTGGCCGAAACAAATATATTACACGCTCAAATGCAACTCACTTAACAACCGTTTTGCTTAGCAGTGGAAGTTCTGCTCTTACTTGTTGGACGTAAGTGGAGGGCTGCTTGCAAGCCAGAGGTGCGCCCCCCCACCACCACCCCTGTGAGGCCCATCGAAGGGCAGGTGGGCAGGACTGAGATGACAGATTTAAACAGCACAGATTCAGAAAGCTGAGAGCAGCAGTTGAACTTGCTCTGGATACACGTCCGATTTCCTGCTTCCTGTCTGGATAAAGACAGTCGCCGTGTTTCCTTCCGATGCAGCGACAGGAGGTTAGAACCCAGGGCAGGGGATGTGGCACGGCTTAGAAAAGATAAAGCAAAGGCTGGAAAATAAAGTAATACCAAATAAAATTGGAAAAAGAGGAGGTGGAACATACAGGATGCGGCTTCCTCTGCTTTTCTTTGTCTCTCCAGTTCGCAGCTATTCCCTTCTTAATTTCCTCTTCCTCTTCCCATCCCTTCCTGTGAAGTTTGGGAAGAGTTACTGAATTGGGAACACACCCTCGTGTGTCCCCTGCAAACCCCTATTCTGACCCAGGCTTCCTTAACAAGCATGAAGCAGAGTCTTAGTCTCTTTTATTTACACAACTGTGAATTCCTTTCATTCCCAGTCAGCAAGCCTTNCCCTGTTGATGACGTCAGCGACGCGGTTTAATCGGGTGCGGCTTAGTCGAGCGCGGTTTTGACGGGTCACGGGTGATTACGGAGCAGAGAATGCAAAAAACAAAAAAAAATATTGAATAATTGAAGTGACTGTCATTCAGAATTCCCCTACTTATCTTGGTTAATTTGATTAAACAGATTAACAGAGTTGGAAGGGACCTTGTAGGTCATCTAGTCCAACCCCCCGCCCAAGCAGGAGACCCTATACCATTTCTGACAGATGGCAGTCCAGTCTCTTCTTGAAAGCTTCCAATGGTGAAGCTCCCACAATTTGAACCACAGCAAGCTACTAACTTTTCCCATGGATCAGATTCTTGCATTCAACCCATAAGTGTCAGCTACATTTGTGCACATAACACAACACCTGTCCCTCAATCTTTAGCTATAACCACTACTGAACTATAAACTCATCTTCACTTGAGTGTCCTTATTATCCCCTTTTCTGGCTACCAGAATGTAATTTCCTGGGCTGTATCTACAGCTAAAATAGCCATGCTTCTGTCGAACAACATCTTAAAATATTGCAGCCCTCCCTCTCCCACTTTTCTTTCTGTGAGATTCCCTTTCCCCTCCCTTTTTGTTTTCCCGTGGGAAGATCTACCCACCCACCCTCAAGTGGGGGCTGCAAAATTCAAAATATGTAGGATTTCCAACGAGGTGCAAAATGGCACGAGGCTCCTTCAAAACCAGGGAAGTTGTGAATAATTTTGAAGAAGAGATTGATAGCGGAGCGCCTGTTTCGATGAACCCGAGAAGGGATTTTTAGAACAGAATTCTAGGGCTGGAAGGGACCTCAGGAGGTCTTCCAGTCCAACCCCCTTGTTCAAGGCAGGAGACCTCATATATCCAGGCCGAAGGTGATCCAGACTGTTTTTGAAAACCTCCCATTTTCATTTCTGCAAGAAATACGAGTGGATGGGGCTCACCCCTTTGCACAAACCAATTTTGTTTGTATGTAGGAACAAATTAGCTTTGTTAGATTTTGAAGCCATATAATGGCTTAAAAGGTTTGCGTCCATGCCAAATGTCCCAATTTTGACCTGGGGATGCCGTTGTTAAGTGTAATGACCAGCTGTAAGTCACTTTTTTCAGTTTGCTTTTAATTTTGGTTGCTAAATGAATGGTAAGTTGAGAACTCTCTGTGCAGTATTTTTGAAATAATGACTTTGATGAATGGATTAAGTATAAATAACATGATTGCACTTCTGTGTGCCAAGTTGAATCCTTTCTTTTTTTTCTTTCCTTCCTTCCTTCCCCTTCCCTTCCCTTCCCTTCTCACCTCCCAATCAAATCAACTTTCTTGTCATCTATCCTGGCCAATGTTTGCTTGGTTTTTTATCAAAGTATTATGTTTTCCTGAAAATAAGACCACCCCAATTGGGCTTTTGAGTGCATGCGCTAAACTAAGCCTTCCCCTGAAAATAAGCCCTTCCCTAAAATATTTAACCGCATGCGTAGCCGGTCTCTCCCATTTCCTGGGGGAAAGTGGGGGAAGGAACATGTCACATGGCCTCGCGGAGGCCACTCCCACAAACCCTAGCTACTACGCCCCTTCTCTTAGTGGCGGCCGTAAAAAGAGCAGCTGGCCAAGAGACGCTAGGGCTGGCAAGAGTGTGCCAGAGACAGAACTCCCGGCCCTCTCTGGATCAGCTGATCTGCGAACCGAGGTTAAGGGGCATCCTGCACCTC